AGGATTGGCCACTTCGCTGACCCTTCTTCAGGTTGGGAGGCTTTGGGGGGTTGCGGGGTGGGGGGGCGCACAGACTGGCCACTTCACCACTTGCTATAAGCTTCCACCCCAGCTGCCTCAGTGCTGCCTTTCAGGTAATGAAAAACTGAGGAGTTAACTCTGGGTTAAATTTTAACCGATGAATATATGATGTATTTATTTAAGTCCTACCATATCAGCAACGAATATAGTTTCCTTTGTAGTATTTAACATGTATTTGTTGTCAATAGCAACTCTAGATATGGTGATAGTTACATCTATTTCAGATGAAGGAGACTTTTTAAAAAGTGAACACTTTCTTGTGAGTGTTTTTAAATCATGTATGCACTAAATGCGGAAGATGTTTTTGTTGAGGACATTTAAAAATCTTAAAGTGAGAACTCAACTATTGTTAAAGGCCAAAGGATTTTATTTTTGCGGTGTAGGTAGTAACATAGATCTAACACAGACATCAGTTAATAGATTAACATGTGAGGGTAATTTTTGTTGCTGAAATGATAAAAGAATGCCTTGATTTCTGATGTTACACCATATGAATTATAGGGAAATCTCAAACAGTTTTGTAGTCAGGTACATGCTTGGGTGCTGGCCACATCGTGGGCACTCTAACCTGATGAATGAGTATTACTTACAGGTTGTAATGTAAGCTGACTTGTCTGTGCATAAGCCTTTTGTTGAATGACTTGTCTTATTTTAGGGAGCAGATATTAATAGCACTGATTCTGAAGGACGCTCTCCCCTGTTACTAGCCACGGCTTCTGCATCTTGGAATATTGTAAATCTGCTCCTCTCAAGAGGTACCACGAGGGACCCAGCCAAACCTTTAGAACTGCCACACACTTTGGTTAAACGTTTACTGTGGGCCAGGCATCAGGCCAGATGCTTGAATACAAAGATAAATAGAATATTTCCCATGTCTAGAGTAATATTCAGTGCAGTCAGGGATCAATACTTAAAAAGATTACTTCAGAACACTCATAGATAATAGTTACACAGCAATTATCATGTCCCAGGCATTTTGCTGAACATTTTATCTACATTCTCTCAATGGTTACGTTTTATGCAATAGAAGTACTGTAACTGTCCCCATTTTAGATACTAACCTGATGTGATGATAAAGAACAGGTATCGTCCCCTGGTCTTTCTTGATCTTTAATCTCTCCATCTTTGTAGTTTATGTTTTCAAAGGTAAGACCTCATATATTAATTAATGTAATAAATCATATATTCTCTCCCCCCTTTACACACAGTACGCACAGTCAGGTAAACCCATTTTTAACTATATTTAGTTTAAGTTCAAGGTTGGAAGAGATTTAAATAAAAATTATTTTGTTCAATTAAAACACCATAGGCCATGATTTAAATAAATAAACAGAAGTTATATTTATATTGTGCTTTTTCAGGTGCCCAAGTAGACATAAAAGATCATCTTGGACGTAATTTTTTGCATTTGACTGTACAGCAACCTTATGGATTAAGTAATTTGCAACCTGAGTTTATGCAGGTAATATATCTTTTATGTATGGATTCCCAGAAATAGCTGTGTTCGGCAGAGAGTAAACTGATTTTGCTTATTATGATTTTTATTATTATGAAGGCTGATTCTGGAATTTTAAAATTACTTTAAAATAAAAATTCTGTATTTAATATTTATTTACAACGTAGTGGTGATGATTATGATGATGATAATAAATTACACTGGGACTGAATTTTCCAAGTTACAGAGGGTTCCCATCTATCTATATTGAGTCAGCTTTCCTTCATTTTTTGACCATTATGAATTGGGTATCATAAAAAGGCCAAGTTCATGTGTGGGTTAGCAGTACTCTATCATCAATTCAGAAAAATTGCTCATCATACTTGACTTGATGGCATGTTGAAAACATTATTTCCACATTTATATTTACTGACTAATATTTATTGAGTGACTATTAGGTGTATCTGAAGTACATTATATTTTTCAGTATTGCCAATATCTTTAATGAAGAATAAAAATGTATGTATTTGAATATTCTAAATAAAAATGTTTGTTATTGATTGGTTTAAGCTGCTCATTGGGCATCCATTTTAAATTTATCATTCATACAAAAGATAAAGTAAACCTCATTTTAATATTTCACCCCTTTCTCCTAAAAGAGCACTTTAATATTAAGTTCTCAAATTGTTATTTGGGGGTGAGGGAGAGGCAAGGGAAGGATGTGGAGGATGGACTGTGGTCTGATATGCTTGGAAAATGTTAGGTTAAAACTGTTAAGTACATTTCTCACTCTCGGGATTTCCAGGGCCTTTGTAAATCACAGTAATGTGCACTGGAGGGAGACAGCATGCACTGTCATTCACATTTATCTTACTCTATCACCCTCCAGGTTATTAATATTTTTTGTCCTCAAGGGATCCATATTGACCCTTGTTGGAAAATACTATGCTATAGAATAGTTTGAAAAACACTGTAATTAGCATGATAGCAGAGTTATGTTTAGAATATTAATTTTTTCCCATAGATGCAACACATTAAAGAGCTGGTAATGGATGAAGACAACGATGGGTGTACTCCTCTACATTACGCTTGTAGACAGGGGGTCCCTGCCTCTGTAAATAACCTACTTGGCTTTAATGTGTCCATTCATTCCAAAAGCAAAGATAAACAATCACCCCTACATTTTGCAGCCAGGTAAGGGTCAGTTGATGTGACATATGAGCCTGTCATCTTTCTGTTTGATATTTACTTTGAACATATGAAACCTAATTTTTTCAAGTTACGGGCGTATCAATACCTGTCAGAGGCTCCTGCGAGACATGAATGATACAAGGCTTTTGAATGAAGGTGACCTTCATGGAATGACTCCTCTCCACCTGGCTGCAAAAAATGGGCATGATAAAGTTGTCCAACTTCTTCTGAGAAAAGGTGCCTTATTTCTCAGGTGAGGGTATATGATTAGAATATTTACATAGTATTCTTTTTAACTAGTTAGCCATTTCCAGGCTGTTTTTCTATTTTATTTCTAATTATGGTACCTAACTTTCTATCTCCCTATGTACTTTTATCTAATTTACTCCTTGAAACATTTGTGACCTCTGAAATATTGAAAGAGAAGTCAATGTTATTGCCAACTGATGAATGAAGATACTGAGATTTATAGAGTTGAAGTTCAGGGTCACAGAATAAATGGCTTTGTGCATAGTAGCTCCCAGGAGCTTTGAAATACAATTTCTCATATTTTATTTCATCATAACGCTACCGTCTTTTAATGCAGGTATAAAACTGTGTGTGTATGTATGCACACCCCATACAAATGCAAAGACTCTACTTTTCATTCCATCTGATGAATGGTACACATAAAAAGTGGCCTTTAAACCACAACATGAGATATAAAATACCCCTGAATTTCATTATACTTAACTCTCACACAAGGAGCAAAACCAAATTAAAATAATTACGCATAATAAAAAGTAGCATAATTAAATGACATCTTTGTAAAAGGAAAATAAAACCCCAGAAAAGTTTTATAGACATATGATGAGCTAGCTGCTAATGTCACCCAGGTGAATGAGCAAAGAGCTCATTAAGCTAATGTTCAAAACCCCATTTCTTTATCAGACTGTCAATCCCAGCAACATCATGATGCAGCTGGGAACTGCATGCTCTGCTCGTTCCTTCCTGCTTCCATGGGAACACCAGGCAGCGACCTGCAGAGGGGACCCCAGTGGGCCAGGCCAGAGAGTGGTTACTTAATTACATCATCACTGAAATAGCGAAGTGGCTCTTGCACCCTCACACAGCTGCTCACTGGCATTGAAATTAAATTGTGTCAGGATCTCACACTTTTTTCTATATATAATTTGGAAAAATGTCAAGCCTTCATTGTATTTAATACTAAATTTCTGTGAGAAGAGACAAACATTTTGCAAAGGGATTAAGTAAGGCCCAGCCAGCGTGGCTCAATAGTTGAGTGTCGACCTATGAACAATAGTTGAGTGTCGACCTATGAACCAGGAGGTCACAGTTAAATTCCTGGTCAGGGCACATGTGGGAGGTGTGCAGGAGGCAGCCAATCCATGATTTTCTCTCATTATTGATGTTTCTATCTCTCCCTCTCCATTCCTCTCTCTGAAATCAATAAAAATAAGTTTAAAAACACACATAAAAAACAACAAAGGGATTAAGTAAGCATCTTTAAGAGCAAAGACGAAAGATCCCTTTGAACCTGAACACTTAGTAAACTAAGTGGCACTAAGTTAAGTATCTTATAGTCATGATGATATTATTATCATTAGTAGTAGTAATAACTAGTGGTCATGAAGACTAATACCACCATCATGGAGATTTTTTATACAATGCTCAATGAAAGAAGAAACAGGACTTAAAATGTGTATAAATAAATTACAGCCTTGGGAAAAATACATCTGATACAGACATGCTAGCTCTAGTTTCACCCGCCCCCAAGTTTCTGATATTATGTTTATATACTTTTATATTTTAATCTGCTAAATTAAAAAATATGTGTGAATACATTAAAGGTAGATCATTTAAGACCATTGATTAGGCTTGAAATGAGCTCATTTGTTATAAATATGTAATAAATATTTAGTTCCTAGAACTGAGATTGCTTTTTTTTTTTTTTTGGTCTGATAAGACCTACCTTTCAAATGGGTGGCATGCCGTCCCACGTTTCAGCTGTAAGGGGAATGCACACGTCTTTTCTTATCTCTCTAACAGTGACCACAGTGGCTGGACTGCTTTGCATCACGCTTCCTTGGGCGGGTACACTCAGACCATGAAGGTCATTCTTGACACTAATTTGAAGTGCACAACCGATCAGGTTGATGAAGATGGGGTACGTACTGTGTTCTTCATTCCCACCCCAAATCTTGGCATATAAGAAACTTCAAAAATTGTAAGGAAGTCTTCTTAGCCACCCTGTTCCTTTCCTTGCCCTGTTCATAGCCTTTTATTGGGCTCTTACTATGCTGACCCTTAGAGAGGAACGTGTGAAAAGGGAACAGAATATGGAGAATGCTATGGGGTGGGTGCGTGTTGAGGACACCTCTTCAGTCTCGCAGAAACTGGCTCAAGGGTCTGTGTGGACTGATGATAAAATTTCCACCACTCTGGTGAACTGAGAAAAATGAAGAGGCGAGGGGTAAGTCTTCCTAAAACCAAGTGTATTTGACTTGAAGGACTATATTTTATTCTACTATGATGTTCTTCCTCCTTTTTGTGGGAGCAAGTATTGGATCTAAATTCTTTCATGAAATGATAGAAAATTGCCATTGCTTTATAAAAATGCCTTTATGTAGCAAAACAAAAGATTGGTAGCCTTATAGAAGCTCTGACTTAAAAAAAAAAATTTACAAGCCTGTGAAAGCCCAAAATCTGGGAACCGCTGCTCTACGAAATGGTAAATCTCCCAGAAGTATTTTCTTCTATGTTCATTGCGGCATCCTTACCCGGATAGCTTGTCCTCTGTCCTCCTGGAGTCATTCCACTGCAAAAAATAAGGCAAAACAACCACTTGGAATTCACATGCACACTCAGCCCCCACCCCGTCTCCCCACACACGCACCATGCTTGAACTATAAACTCGTTATTTTGAAGCTGGATTCTGACCACCAGTTTTAAATTGTATGTATTTTTGGTATTGAATGGTTAGTTTTGTTACTAATTTCTTTTAAACAGTTCAACAATGAAACATGGCAGTAAAATAGCCAAGGGACGATGAGCCATTGTCATTGCATTTCCTTTCTATTTCCTCTAAAAGAACACAGCGCTGCACTTGGCTGCAAGGGAAGGCCACGCCAAGGCTGCCGCCCTCCTCCTGAACTACGACGCTGACATCCTCCTGAACCGGCAGCAGGCCTCCTTTCTGCACCTGGCCATTCACAACAAGCGGAAGGAGGTGGTTCTTATGACCATCAGGAACAGAAGGTGTGCTGTCTTCCTGTCCATGGCCTTGAGTGTCCCCGGGCATGAGGGATAGTTCACAGCCTGAGAAGAAACAGAAAGAGAATAAGTTTCATCTATTAGTCAACATTTTTGTTGTTGTTGTTGTTAATCCTTACCTGAAGATATTTTTCCATTGATTTTTAGAGAGAGTGGAAGGGAGGGAGGGAGGGAAGGGGAGAAGAGAGAAAGAAACATAGATGTGAGAGAGATACATTGATTGGTTGCCTCCCGCATGAGAGCCCTGACCAGCCTGGGGGTATCAAACCTGCAATCCAGGTACGTGCCCTTGACCAGAAATTGAACCCATGACTCTTTGGTGCTCGGGCTGACGCTCTAACCCAGGGGTGGGGAACCTTTTCTCTGCTAATGGTCATTTGGATATTTATCATATCATTCTCAGGCCATACAAAATTATCCAACAATTAATTAACTCACTGCTAATATCTTGGCAGGGCCAGACCAAATGATTTTGTGGGCCTTATATGCCCTGCAGACCCTCTGCTCTAACCACTGAGAACACCGGCCACTTACAGAAACGTTTAATGAACTCTTTGGGTGACAGCAGACATTTTGTTTGAACTCTGATCTTCAGTTTCCATTTCTAAATCATGGGAGCTTGGACCGCCTTCGTGGCTGACTTGGGAGACTCGGGGGTTCAGGCATTGTTGTGTCTGGCACCATGGTCACTGTCAAGCATGCTGTGCCCTGCCCTATCTGAGCTTCCCCGACACTCTCCTGCCAACAGAACCCCCAAAACTGGATGTTGCTGAAAATATTCTCCAAGTTGTTGTGATTAGTGCCATCTAATGGAATCTTCCTTAACTCATGGTCTTTTGTGGCGGTGGGTTTTTGAACCAGATTCCCAGGAGTTTTTATGATGGAGTTGGAGAGTGGTTTGTTCCACTTCTGGTGCCGAAGTTTTTCTATATAATCACAAGGGCCCAGTGTTACCCAGTAGTGCACACAGAGGTGAACCATCTCATGTTCCAGGCAGATAAGGCCTGTGTTCATGAACATGGGACATCCTCAAGATCCCTGGCTGATCATTCTTTTGAAGCACCCATCAATGCAAGTGTGCAACGGGAAGTTTTCTACTGACTGTGCAGATACTCTAGATACGTGGTCGGCAAAAAGCAGCTCGCGAGCCACATGCGGCTCCTTGGCCCTTTGAGCGTGGCTCTTCCACAAAATACCACGTGCGGGCGTGCACGTACAGTGCGATTGAAACTTAGTGTCCCATGCTCAGAAGTCAGTATTTTGTGGAATAGCTGGTATTTTGTGGAAGAGCCATGCTCAAGGGGCCAAAGAGCCGCATGTGGCTCGAGAGCTGCTGTTAGCCGAGCCGCAGTTTGCCGACCACTGCTCTAGATCAGTGGTTCTCAACTTTCCTAATGCCGCGACCCTTTAATACACTTCCTCATGTTGTGGTGACCCCCAACCATAAAATTATTTTCGTTGCTACTTCATAACTGTAATTTTGCTACTGTTATGAATCGTAATGTAAATATCTGATATGCAGGATGTATTTTCATTGTTACAAATTGAACATAATTAAAGCATAGTAATTAATCACAAAAACAATATGTAATTATATATTCAATATGTGTTTTCCAATGGTCTTAGGCGACCCCTGTGAAAGGGTCGTTCAACCCCCAAAGGGGTCGCGACCCACAGGTTGAGAACCACTGCTCTAGATGGAGTTGCTGATAGGGTTAACAGAAAATCTGTCTGAGTAGTTTTAAGTACTAGTCTCCTATGACATAGATTGGCTCTGGGGGGTAACATATGGGCTCTTCTTTACTTCCTGCTGTAGATCTATTTCCTTTTTGGTATCGTAAGTATCTTATCCCGTCTAACTGGATGGAAATGAAGAAAGCGGCAGACTCTGCAGTGTTTTGGCAGGACCCGTGCTTGTTAACATACTTGACCCATGTTACTTTGTAGTTTAATTCAATACATGATGAATAAATAGATTAGATGCTAAATATCCTGTACCCAGTATTCTTGTTGCTATCCCATGTATGTGAATGTGTGAATATCTACCCAACATGACCAACTTATGATCTCAGGAAAAAAAAGAAGGCAAAAGCCTACCTTTTCTAGAAGGCATTTAGAGAAAGAGAAAAGCAATGATAACAACCATCCTGGAATTTGCCCACATTTCTAATTCTCATTAATGGACAAGGACCCTTATTCATGGATTCATCTTGGTTCAAATATTGGTTCCATTGGAATCAATTCAGGTTTCTCATAAAGATACAATCTTGAGTATCAATTGGTAGCTTTGTGGTTGTGCCGAACAAAAGAATTAAGACTCGTGTTTTTTTTTTAATTATTTTGTTTTACAGATGGGAAGAATGTTTTAGGGCTTTTAGTCATAATTCTCCAAGCAACAAATGTCCAGTCGTGGAAATGGTAGAATACCTCCCTGAATGCATGAAAGTAAGCTCTCCAAACAAAACTCCTTCTGGGTTATGCTTGGCATATAATATAATGTGAGGATTTACTGTTGTAATCACAACCTAAATAGTAGCAATTTCCATCTTTAAAAAGTTTCTAGTTTCCCACAGGGCATAAGGGAAGTTAGCCAACAAATATTTAGGAAGGACCTACTTGAATTAAAGAATCCAATTGTTATGTGGAATACAGAAAATATGGGCAACCGATTTTTTTTATTCAAATAATCCAAGTCTAGAGCAGAGATTACTAATGGCGATTGCTGGCTGAACAAATCCTCTAGTTGTTTTTAATGGAATGCATGTTATTGTTTCAAATTTGCATTAGTAGCTAACATTTAAAACTAGGAGGCCCCACCTTAAAGATCTAGATATCTGGCTTCCTATAAAAATCAGAAGATCTGGTGACTGGGCCTCCCTGCACACAAGGCAGGAATCGCTGGGCCAGTGTAGCAGCTGCTCCTTTGGGTGGGGCAAGCACCCTCCCACCTCTCACTCCTGCCTCCTCCTTTTGTATATTCAGCTCTAATGCCCAGTGTTAGTTGCCATGTATTGTCCTTCTTGTGCAATTGCTTCCCTGGTAGTACAGTGATATTTCTCTTATATGCCTGTATCCAAACTGTGAAGAGTAAAAAAGAAGCATATGGAGGGCCTGCAGAATTTCTCCTTGTAACATTATCCCCCCTGCCCTGTCCATGCTGCTCTAGATGAAGACTGTGTCAGTCCCAGTGCTCAGCAAGCGAGGTACAGAAGCAAACACAGTATCAGGCTCGAGCAATGCAGATAGGAACTCGGCCAAAGAAAGACCCCAGGGCTCCTCTGGAAGCAGATTAGGGGCAAGAGACAAGAAATGATCACTATAAGGCATTGGGCAAAGGAATCCTTAAGTATCTACATATTCTCTAGAAGCCCAGAAAGATGCCAAATCTTGGGCAAAACCAGTGGAAGATTTCTTACATTTTAGTAAATGTACTTTGTTTCTCAAAGTGGATGGCATTTTACTGAATCACTTTTATTTCTGTGTGCAGTGGTTAATGTAATATTTTATTTTTTAAACTTCGTTCATGAATGACATGGGTTATAGTTTACCTTGGAGGTGCAAGGAGCAAAAGAAGGGAAGGGATGTCTCAGGTATTGTTTTAGAGATGGGATCAAATCCTGTCTCCTCTCTACTCTCCTGTCCAATATCTTAGCCACTTTTCCTCCCAAAGGTGCTGTTAGATTGCTGCATGACACCCTCCACGGAAGACAAGTCCTGCCGAGACTACCATGTAAGCTTATTTAACCATAACAATTTGAAGTTTATTTTATTATAATTCTTTAAAGTATATTAAAAATATTAGTAGAGTTCCCCAATCTCAAAAGGTGGTAAATATTATCTTCGTTTGTCAGATTACTCTATTTCCTACTTATGAGATAATTTACCTCTTAGATCCTGTTTCCCCCTAATATTTTAATTGTTTTTAATAGCATTATTTAGAGTTGCTTCTAGTCTTCTATTTTCTTGTATAGTATTGCCTGAAGAATTAAATTGGGTGTAAGTGACTATGACTATGAGTTAAAAATCAATGATTATGAGTTAAAAATCAATCAAATAACAGCTTCCTAGGATATTTATTTTTTTAAGTAATATGCAATAAGTTAATTTACTTTTGTTCAGATGAGATGACTCAACTTTTATTTGAATCATTTAATTTTCAACAGAATTGTAGGCTTGTGTTTGTGATTTGTCAAGAACAGTTGTGGGTCTATACTAGACTAAAACTTTTAAAAATTATATCTCCTATAGATCGAGTATAATTTCAGATATCTTCAATGTCCATTAGAATTCACGAAAAAAAATGCACAGGATGTTACATATGAGCCTCTCACAACCATCAATGTAAGTCTAGTGTTTTCATTATCCAGGTAATTTCTACATGGGCTCTGCAGTGTTTTGGTATTATAGTTCAGGAAGGGACCTGGAGAGAATTCCAGATTTATAGTTTTATGTCTGTCTGTCATGTGGCCCCAACCTTTATTTTTAGTAAAAAAAAAAAAAGGCAATAATTTTCCACAATTGCTATAATTTGGTCTCCTTAAAGTTCCACACTCTTGATCACTTTCATCCTCATGGTTATGTTAAACCTGTCCCAACCCAGAATCCAATACACCAGGGACAACATGGGCTGTCCACCTAAATACAGACACACATATTTAAGAGTTTGCTCCATTGTAAATCAGAGGAAAATGTGGGGCTTGGCATTTAACAGTCATAGCTTCCAAGTTCAGCTGACCACTGGCCCCACGGTAAACTCTGACTTTCAGAAGCTCCTAGATCCTTCTGGAAGAGTAAATGCAATCAGAGAGCAAGCCCTACATGCTCAGTATGGACCCAAATTTCCCTAGAGACTTGTTCTAAACCAGTTCTTAGTCCAAAGAGTTCTTGCACATTTCTAGCAGATGAGTCAATAAAAGCCATGAGGCTGATCTACTTCTGTCTAAACCAGGGTTTCAGACTCAGGTAACTGCACAGGAAGCAGGTAACAGGTATGTGATGAGCTCCTGGTGTGAAAGGACATGGCTACTCACTGTTGTCTCAGTGGGTGAAGGAGGCTCTGGGGCTTCCTCGTCCATTATCTTGCTAACATCACTTCCTCTATGAATTTATTGAACAATTAAAAATTAATTTTGAGGTAGATATTAGTAGCTCCAATAACTCATGACAACTTATAAAATACAGGCTAATTTAACCACTGTTATGTGTACTTTACTATTTAAAACGCTTCCAGAAAGATAAGCCTGGGTTTCTTCAAGGAAAGACCAAGGGTGTAGCTTTTGCTTATTTATCTTAAATGTCCTTTCCAGTTGCAACTTGTATAAGATTGAAAAGCTGATTTCTTTAACTAGTGAGAAAATGAAATAGACAAACTGAATCAAATACTTGCACCTGTATAAAATGGTTCTCTCTAGCTTGTGTGTGTGTGTGTGTGTTTTAAATATATTCTTGATAGAACTTTGGTTTCTCAAATTTTCAAAAACAGTTGTTACTTTTGTAATATCAGATAAAGTTATAAAACCAGCAAACAAGAAGCTTAATTTATACTTGATTGCTTCATATGGTTGTATTTTTATGGATCTTTTTTTATTTCTCAGACAATGGTACACCATAACCGCATAGAGCTTCTCAACCATCCTGTGTGCAAAGAATATTTACTTATGAAATGGTGGGTATTAGGTAGTATTTCTTTTAAATAATATCTCCATTAATTTTATTAAAAGTCTTCTAAATAATTATGTTTAAATGGTATTTTTATGTTTGAAAAAGAAATGTGTTGAAGGCATATTTTGGTATTAAAATGATGATGATGTTTATTTTTTACATTAAATGGCATATTTTGGGGTGAGGGGAAGTCACTATATAAGACAATGAGAGGCGTTCCTGGGTCCTGCAGTTTAGTGGACATGAATGAAGTGAGAGGTGTGTTCCTGGGAAGAGCCAACATGGAATTAGTAGATATGAGCTAATGTCTCGGCTCTTCCATTAATTGGTGAGAGATTTTTAAGTAACTCGTGACTTACTGGGAAGTTGTGATTCCTTTTTTGAAAATGAAAAAAAATGAATTCGAAGGTCTTCTTGGTTCTAAAGTTCAGTGGATTTACCAAATAGACTTCTGAGAGAGATCATAACTACTTTTTCCACAGTATCTTAATGTTGAAATTCCTCAATTATGGTTTACTTATTTTCTTTTGTAGGTTGGCTTATGGGTTTAGAGCCCATATTATGAACCTAGGATCTTATTGCCTTGGTCTCCTGCCTATGACCTTTCTTGTTGTCAATATAAAGCCAGGTATGGCTTTCAACTCAACTGGAATCATCAATGAAACTAGTGATCGTTTAGAAATATTAGACACCAAGGTATTTTTCCACTTATTTTCATATTTCAACCTTTTAAAAGATTATTAAAAAGTGTGTTTTTTTCCCTAATAATATTAGCCCTATTATAAGTTTGAAATACAAGGACTTTTATTATTATAAATAGCCTATAGGATTCATATATGCTAACAATTTCTCCTAAAGTCTTTTGTGAAGTGAGAGGGAATATAAATAAATGGGTCAGTAAAGAGTTCGTAAATTAATTTAAAGGAATTGACATGTATGAGATGCTAGCTTGAATGCTGAAATAGAAAACGTTAAAATTGGTTTCCAAGAAAGCAGATTTGTGGCTGCCAGGGATTGTAGGGAGAGAGGAGTGATGCTTAGTGGGTACAGGGTTTCCCTTTGGGGTGATGAGAAAGTTATGGAACTAGATGGTGATGATGGTGTGTAACACTGTGAATGTACTGAATGCCACAGAAGTGTACATTTTAAAATGTAAATGTACAGATAAAATGTAAAACTCTCAAAATGATAAATTTTATAGTATGCACATTTTACCAGAGTAAAATAATTTTTTGCATAGGTTCATATTCCTTTGGAATTCCATTGGCAATTTCTGAACCTGTCTTAGGACATTATAAAATGAATATGTGTCTTCTTTATATTGGCATCACAGTAATTTTCTGTTTAAAGCAAATATGGACAGTACATAGAAATGAAGCAAAAGAATAACAAATATGTAATAGTGGAAATTATTAAGAAATTTGTGTTGTTTTAATGTATACCCTTGTAAGTGCTTACATTATTTTTTTTGTTTCAGGATTCATATTCTATAAAAGTTTGTATGATTTTAGTTTTTTTATCAAGCTTATTTGGATATTGCAAAGAACTGGTCCAGATTTTCCAACAGGTAAACAATACATTTTGTATCTCTAAAATTGGAAATATTTTAATATGCAGAATGCAAATTAATTTAGTAAATATTTTAATATGCAGAATAAATATTTTAATGTCAGAATAAAATCACATACCTGGAAAAATGTATAGATGGGAAATACCAAGCATAAACTTCTCCAGATGTAGAAATTGCGGGATGTTAGATACACTCTTTGCCCTGGACGGTGCCTGTTGACACACCTGAAGCCGAGTTGGTCCAGAATGACAAGTCCATGTGGGTCTGTCTGGCTACACATGACTTTTTCTGTGTTTTCTCTGATAGCGACTTAATATTTTGCTGACATAAAAGTTAGATTTTGAATTTTCTAATTTTGAATGTAACTGTTTATAAAGAACTTACTTGGGCCAAGACTCCATTGCAAATGTGTTTGTTTTTTTATTCCTCTTCTAAAAGGAATACTTTATTTATTGCATAAAATGTCAAGTTATAACAAAATTGGGGAACTTTTTATCATACTTTTTACTTTCTACTTTACTTCTTAAAATGGATGAACCAAGTTCAGATCAGACACAAGGATTATGTAAATTACCTGTAGGTCCTTGCTTGGGTTGATAAATGGCATCAGTCTTTTATTATTCACTTTTGGAGTATACTTTTTGTGCATGTTACTGTCTATGTTTTATATCTTTTACACAATACCTCATTTTCTATGGAAATGTACCTCTCTACATAATATGAGCACATGGGTATTTGCATGATGATAATAGTGCTTTGCACTTGTTTTACATATACATTGCCAAGTACTTTTTTGTATGTATATAGTTTCAGTAAATTGTCACAATTCTGAGAGTTAGACTGTATTGTTCTATTGTATGTTAAATGATTTAGGGCATATTATGTAATATCTCTTGTCATTTTCAAACATGAGAACTACAGATTTGGTCTCCACATTTTCTTATTGATAATGGCCTATTCTACATGACACCTTTAAGTTAAGAATAGAAAATACACCAAAGCGGTATGGTAATTTAGTCTTAGCACAGGTCTCAAACCTCCTTAGAAGCAGAATTAGTTGCTTTGTATCCTGGGAATTCCACATGCATGTCTATATACAGGCAGAAAGGAATTACGAAGCCAACCTGCAGTCCCTCCATCCCCAGATTTTTCCTTAAGATGACGTGGACTCTATGGGGAAAGCCCAGAAACTTGTAGAGGCATCAGACTGCCTAGGTGCCAGGTCAATAGAAGAGGCTGGGCTACCTCCAACAATGATATGAACCAAGAGCGCAGTCCAGTCCAGGATGGCAGGAGCTGGCTCCTTGGTCCTAAATCCCCAGCTGCAACAACGAAAAACTCTTGTGACTCATTACAAATATATATTCATCCATAAGATGTCAGGTCTTGATCTCTACATAGGGTAATTCTTCATTTTTTTAACCCCAGAAAAGGAATTACATATTGGATCAGAGCAATGGAACTGAATGGGTTATCTACACAACGAGCATTATTTTCGTGTCACCCTTGTTCATCAGTATACCAGCTCACGTGCAGTGGCAATGCGGAGCAATTGCCATTTACTTCTATTGGATGAACTTCTTAATGTATCTTCAGAGGTAAAACTGGCTTCAATGATCTCTATATCCTTTAAACATCCTTTAGGCATGTTTAATATAAAAAAGAGCTATTATAAGTCCCATAAATATATAACTGGCTTCTTCCTTTTCCAATGTTGTAAATTGTGAGGATATCTTTTATATTATTAAGGAAAAGGGAAGGGAGGTTTGGAGTTCAGAGTGTAGACCAGGTTTCTCTCAACCTTGGCACTACTGAAATTTGGGACCAGATAATTTTTATTGTGGGGCTCTGTCCTGTGCACTGTAGGCTGTTTAGTAGCATCCCTGGCCTCTCCGCTAGATACCAGTAGTAATCGTCCCCCACCCGTGTGACAATAAAAAATTTCTCTAGATAATTGCCAGTTATTCTCTGGGTGGAAAAAACCCCTCGAATCCAGACCCACCAGTCTAGTCAAATCTAGATTAAATGTGGGAGTAAATGGGTATACAAGTATTGGCTATTCTTGTTTTGCCTGGTATTATTTGATAATTACTTACTTTAGATTAAAACAATTAAAAGGAAGTGTTAGGTATGGTGAGTAATAGTGATAGGAGGGGAAAATGTCAACCCCAAAACTCTAATTCTAGAGAGGAAAGGAGGACCAGGCTCCCCTGCCTCCCACACTTGCTGCTGTTGAGTTAAATGTTATTTCAGCCCTGGCCGGTGGCTCAGTTCTTTGTAACATTGTCTTGTACACCAAAAGGTTGCTGGTTTAATTCCCAGACAAGGCACATGCCTAGGTTTCTGGTTCGATCTCATATATGTTTCTCTCTCACATCAGTGTTTAACTCTCACTCTGTCTCTGTCTCTCTCTAAACATATCCTCAGGTGAGGATTTTTAAAAATATTATTTCACACAATCTTTACAATAACAAGAGGTAAATGTTATTACTCACAGTCTATAAAAGAAGAAGCTGAGGCACTGAGTTAGTAACTAGCCCAAGATCTCAGGTGGTAAGTCAGATGTGAGCATTTTACCAAAGTCGGTCCAACCCTGGGACAGCGCTTTCCCCACCATAGGTCTGCATTGCTGTCCTGAGCACAGTGCAGTGGGGCTGAGCCCCGACCCCCGAAAGGACAGGATCTGGTGGGAAGAGCGCTGACCTGGAAGGCAAGAGGCATCAAGATAGGTCCAGGCAGTGCCACTCTGTTGGCTTTGCCACTATTTAGTGACCTGAGCGAGGTCCTAGATGTCTCTGGGAACTGAGCTTCTAAGTCCTCTGATGTCCCTTTCAGCTTTAAAATCTTATGACTCCCCTTTTAACAGGGTGTCTTGTCAAAGGAAAAGTACAAGTTAGTAGTCAGAAGACACCCATCATCTACCCAGACATTTCACAATGTAGGTTGCTGGGGAGACACAGGAAAGTGTAGGGAGCTGTAAGGATGGGAGAGTGAAGCATGGGTATGTGCCTGCGACAGATGCCCCCAGAAGCATGAGCTCATTTCGTCACTCCCACCGAGGCACCACACAACTCATCTCTCTCATCCCCACATCGTCTGGTAGCAGCATCTTGGATACTGGGAAGCTATGATTTCTCTCTCCTACTTTGGTCAAGTGGTAACACAATGAAAGATAAACATTAAAAGAAGAGAAAAGAAAAAGGAAAAAGGCAGATAGTGTGAGCGGACTGAAAATAAGACTTGATGCTTCATGAATTCTCATGTCTCATTTTGGAAAGTAACTGGCCTCAGTTATCTCATCTGTGGAAACTAGTGCCTAGTGCATGATAAATATTGACCCTGAATGAAATACACTGGGCCAGAAAAGTGAATAAATGTATTTTTTTCCTGCAAGGTTTTTTATTTTTTATTTTTTCTTTATTGATAAAGGTATTATATATGTCTGTGCAATTCCCCATTGCCCTTCCCCCCAGCACATGCCCTCACCCCCTTGTGTCTCTGTCCATTGGTTATGCTTATATGCATGCATATAAGTCCTTTGGTTGACATCTACCCCTCCCCCAACCCTCCCCTGACTTCCCTCTGAGGTTTGACGGTCTGTTCGATGCTTCTCTGTCTCTGGATCTATTTTTGTTCATTAGTTTATGTTGTTCATTATATTCCACAAATGAGTGAGATAATGCAATATTTATCTTTCTCTGACTGGCTTATTTTGCTTAGCATAATGCTCTCTAGGTCCATCCAGGCTGTTGCTAATAGTACGAGTTCCTTCTTTTTTACAGCAGCATAGTATTCCATTGTGTAGATGTACCACTGTTTTTTAATCCACTCATCTGCTGATGGGCATTTGGTCTGTTTCCAAATCTTAGCTATTGTAAATTGTGCTGCTATGAACATAGGGGTGCATATATCCTTTCTGATTGGTGTTTCTGATTTCTTGGGATATATTCCTAGAAGTGGGATTATTGGGTCAAATGTGAGTTCCATTTGAAAAAAAAAAGTGAATAAATATTTTAATTTTTCAAATCTTCCTAGATTTGAGAACTGTGGGATTTTCATCGTTATGTTGGAGGTAATTATGAAGACTTTGTTGAGGTCCACAGTCGTGTTTATCTTCCTTCTTTTGGCCTTTGGACTCAGCTTTTACGTCCTCCTGAGTATACAGGTGAGGAGTTGTGCCTGTGGTTCATTTTTTTGCTATAAATATTGGGAATATATATTTATACTGAAGTCTCAATGGTGTATAATATCAATAATAACACAACAATATTTGGATACTTTCATTTTATCTGATATATTGGCATTCAAATGATTTTCACTGCAGGAAAAATATAGCCTTATTACATGACTTTTTTCCATTGTCAAAACGTTTATGTGTAATGCACGATGATTTGTGTGCAGAAAAGATTATTTTGACGACTTTACCACCAGTTTATTCGTAGTTTTTATCCCTGTATTTTAGTAGCTGTAGTCCTGTGACTTTAAAAATATTTTAAATACGATTTTTATCATTTTACTCTCCAGGAACCATTTTTCATTATATGCATTTTGCATTTCATGGTTCCCTTCCCGTCTCTCCTCAGGATGCTTTCAGCACTCCATTGCTTTCCATAATCCAGACCTTCAGCATGATGCTAGGAGACATTAATTATCGCGATGCCTTCCTAGAGCCGTTTCTGAGAAATGAACTGGCATATCCACTTCTGTCCTTTATACAACTCATTACCTTCACAATGTTTGTCCCAATCGTCCTCATGAATTTACTTGTAAGTAATTTATCCTTGTATTTCCTGCTTGCTGATCATTTGAGGCATTTCATAATCATTATTCGGAGCCTCCCCCATCTCCCTCCAAGAAGGAAAAAGGGACACCTGTGAAATCCATTCTTTCACTGAGGCCTGAGTGTGCCAGGCACAACGTGGGGCCCAGGGGATGCAAAGATGCATTCACTTGGCAAATGCTTATCAAGAATCTCCTAAGTGACCCAGACACTGACCCAGGTGCCGGGACAGAGACAGATCAATACCCAACCCCTACATGATTATAAACTAGTCATGAAGTTAAGCAGTAAACAGGTAAGTATGCAGCATGATGTCGAGGGGGTGGTAAATGCTATGAAGAACTCCAAGGCAGAATAAGGATATAAAGATGAATGGTGTGTGCTGCGTTAGGGTTGCCGGGAACAGGGGAAGGCAAAGGTTAGGCAGATACCTTCATGGAGTGAAGGAGGAAGAACTCATCTCTTGAATCTCTCATGGACCAGAGATTTAAGTGGAGAGCCAGGGTGGGAGGTATTTGTGACATTCAGATGCCCCCTCTAAAAAGTCAGAGGCTGGCTACCCCCAGCAGATATGGACATGTCCGTGCCCTTCCACAGAGAACCTGTCCAGCCCTGAGCATCCTGGCTGATGCAGGCAGGCACGCATCCCAGGTCCATGGAGAGTCCTAGCCGGCATTACAGGGCACGTTTTTTCCTTATTCATTTACTCGAATGTGCACATAGTCCACACACTTTTTTGGAGCCTGACTATGCACCAGGGACCGTGCTGGGCAGTGTTTCCAGAAAGAAAAAATAATAATACAGACTATGTAATGTTTTGATTCACTGACTTGATACAACTCCAGTTTTATTTTGGTGACATAGAAAAATAAAAGATGGCAACTAAGAATAATAAAGAATGACATGAAGCCCACACTCGTCTCTGAGACTCACTTCCGTTTGGAAGACCATTCTCCAGAGGAGAACCTGGGTTAGCAGCAGTACAGGTCGGTGCCACCCGCAGATCTGTACGGCCAACAGCCAGTGAGCTTCACTACCTGCTTGTCCCAGAGCAAAATCAGACCCACCAGGGCCAAGACAGACACTGTTCTCCTTCCTCAGACTGACTCGATATTCTCCACCCACCCGGCCCCCTTTTCCTCATTTCTGCCAATAAACATTTGCCTCTCCACCTACTTCCTCTTAGCTCTCGCCCTTGTGGTGCCTCATCCCCACTGCTACAGAAGACTGAAGAGTTCCTCCATCTCATCTCATTTCTCTGTCTAATCCTTCCCACAAATTATCACCACAGTGATGCCCTGATCATGAAAAATTGGGCCCGTCAGTGTCTCTTTCAAAGGTTTTTCTATGACTCTTCTAAAGCTTCAGTCCATGAGCACTGCACACAGGGTCCTCATGATCCGGATCTGACCCAGATTTCACCCAACTCCCCACTGTCCGCAGCTTTTACCCAGACACACACCAGCACACGCGGTCACTGGGTGTGCCAGGCTTTCCTCCTGCCTCCTGGGCGCTGCTCTTCCGTTTCCTGGAACCCCCCACCTTGGTTAACTCTTTCTCAGCTTTCAACATTCAGGCCAGGCATCATCTCTGCTGGGCAGACTTTCTTAGCCAACTACCCCACCCCAATCACCGGAGTCCGTTATCATAGTTTTGAGGACACAAATCAGAGAAAGACAATAATAAAACCTACTTCCTAAGTTATTGTGAGGATAAAATGAGCTAATATGAAGAATTTAAAACATATATGCATTCAAATGTTAGCTACTATTAAGTATTAATAGTATTTGATTAACATTTAATATTAATATATTGCTTATTTTAATTAGTAAATGATGAGGCTTACAAGCTTATAACTTGTATTAATAAATTATGGGACGCACAGCTCAGCAGACTCAGATGTCTTCAGAGCCAGGCAAGCACCTCTGATGTAAGATCTAAACCAGAGAGACTGCCCATCGCAGGACTTGCAAATTAATAACAGAAAACATTATCCTGCCAGATAAAAGCTACTTGCTGACTATATTTGTACACCCTGGAATAGACTTTCACTGCTCATTCATTCAGCAGGAATAGACTTTCACTGCTCATTCATTCAGCAGCTTTTTTGTGTGCCTACTATGTGTCCTGCACTATTCTAAGCACTGGGCATATGGTGGTAACCTGGAGGGACTGACAGAGCCCTTCTCAGAAAGCAGGGGGCCGGGTCAGCAGACACAGGCCCTGAGTGTCTCCCAGCGGAAGAGTGAGTTAATTTGGACTCAGTAGAACTGAGCTGACAGCTTCCCATCACCTAATTCTGCCCAGCCATGGATTTCTAGGAGGATTTGTATTACCAGAGCCTCATCCACCCCTAAAGTGTACCTTTTCTTGCCAAACATACATAATATATAAATCTCTTCATTCCCTCATTTTAATGTTTTAACTTTTCCATGTTGTCCACCTTAGATGCTAAACTCCTGCAGTTTCCAGGCATGGTGCATGGCTATTGCCAACGGCATTTGATATCACATCACTCCCGTCCTCCCCCAAAAGAACATATTTTTACTTGAAATTAAAATGAATTTCAGATTTATTTTTATGTCTTAACTTTTCATGATAACACTTGCCATTACTGGACCCACCGCCATGGCCACTGCTGTTAGGAGTTATACAGGCTTCGCAGCTCTCCGTGGGGTATGGGAGCAAAGTGTTCAAGGGCCCTGCTGGTGAATTCCATGCCACACTGACAGCATCCAGGGAGACCGTAAGTGCATTTTGACGTGAGCCGTTACACTGGTCGTGATGCAATGCCGTGTTGTGCTTCAGATCGGTTTGGCAGTTGGGGACATTGCCGAGGTCCAGAAGCACGCACTGCTGAAGAGGATTGCCATGCAGGTGAGTGTCGTGTTTGTTTCGAATCAGCACCACCTGAACCGTTCACATGCAGGCGTGGCTGAGTCCTGAGAACACTCTGCTGAGCCTGGGCATGTTCTCACTACATGCCTGCAATGCATGTTCTCTGGTGCACCTGTGGTCGTCAGAGAATCAAAAATGAAAAAAAAAAATCCTACAACAATGTCGGCAGAGGAATTGAGAAACTGTCTAAGCCTCTTTCGAGGTCAACATGGGGCCAACCAGGCATCTAGCCACTGTGGCGCGGGTGGATGTGGTGAAAGGCAGGGGCAGGTGATCGGCTGCCAGGGGCCCAGGAAACTGGCCGCCCAGCGTCAGTGACACAGCAGTCAGTGTTCAGTTGCTGTGCTAACGCTTTCGTCTGTGCAGTGTGAGAATTCCAGCTACTAATGAATGATCCCTATCAATAAATCCAATATGCACTTTAGGTGGAACTCCATACCAACTTAGAGAAGAAGCTGCCGCTCTGGTTCCTACGCAAAGTGGATCAGAAATCCATCATCGTCTATCCCAACAGAGCCAGATACAGCCGAGGGTTACTAGTAAGTACATGGAACAAACATGGCATAGACAGTGCGACACTGCTTCATTGTGTATTCCTGAAGGTTGCCTTTTCATTTTTATTTACTTACTTATTTTAATATATGTTTTTTATTTATTTCAGAGAGGAAGGGAGAAGGAGGGAGAGAGAGAAATGTTAGTGATGAGAGAGAATCATCCATCGGCTGCCTCCTGCACACCCTCTACTGGAGATCAAGCCCACAACCTGGGCATGTGCCCTGGCTGGGAATCAAACCGTGACCTCCTGGTTCATAGGTCTACACTCAACCACTGAACCATATTAGCCAGGCCCAAAGGGTGCCTTTCTACACACCCTGAATCACTCTGCTTGTGGGAAACAAATAAGCTTGTTTTAAAAAAATAGTGCAGGATGAGAAAGTGATGGGCAGTGCAGTGGCCTCTCTCCATGTGGCTCAGCTAAAGCTTCAGTGTTAAACATGTGCCACATCCCTGTGAGAACACTTGGTGGGTGTACTATTTAAGTAACTTTTTTACATTGCAGGTGTGCTGTTTTTCCTAATCACATATCACTTACTTATATGTGCAGATGTATGTATGTGTGTGTCTGTGTGCCTATATAGAACACATGTGTACATATTCACAGATACACACCCATGGAGAATACATATAGAAAATACACAGAGATTAAGCCAGGCCATCTATACTAATAAAAGGGTAATATGCTAATTAGACCAAACGACCTTTCGATCATCATTTCAGACATCCTTCTGGACAAAGCCATGGTGGCAGAGGCCGAGGCAGAGGCAATTAGTGGCGATCAGGCAGGCAGTGGAGCAGTTAGAGGTGATCAGGCTGGCAGGGGAGCAGTTAGGGGGCAATCAGGCCGGCAGGCAGAGGCGGTTAGGGGCGATCAGGCTGGCAGGCAGATGAGCAGTTAGGAGCCAGCAGTCCCAGATTGTGAGGGATCCCAGATTGGAGAGGGTGCAGGCAGGGGTGAGGGACCCTCCCCACCCCTATGCATGAATTTCGTGCACCGGGTCTCTAGCTGTATTATAATGGGAAAGGGACTATACTAAGAGTCAGAAGTACTGGATGCTAATCTTAACCATGCCTGGGCTCCCTCTCTATGAATATTCTTTCTGAGTTCTTTGTAGGTTAAGTTTCCATTGTGTAGTCATAACATGATAAAGGGAACCTAAGTGTCAGCCTATGCTTTACTCTGACTCTACACTATCGCCCTATCTGATTCCACTCACATCCATGGTTGCAATTACCACCTAACACAGGAGCTCAGTGATTGATATCTCTGGCCTACAGCTCTTCTGTGCATTCTGGGCCTCTGTATCCAGCTGTTGACTTGACATCTTCCCTGGTGTGTCTGAGGTCCCTGAAATTCAGCATGTTTAAAACAAACTCTTGCAAAACAAGCTCATGCCTTTCACTCTTCCCACGAATCACTCCCTCCCAACATCCCCTACAGAGAAAGGGTGGAAAAGCTCATCCTTCTCCAAAGTTGCTTATGTCAATTGACATCCACACCATTTGCCTGTGCAGATGGCAGCCTTGACATTGCCCCTCCCTCTTCCTATCCCCTCACTTCAGTCAATCACAGGTTTAGGCCATCAGACTTGCTAGGTGGTCTCCTCTTGCCTAGACTCCTAGAATTACCTCACTCCTGGTCATTTCACATCTGCCCTCGATCCTCTCTAGTTCACCAATCATTTAAAGATCCTAAATTTTAAAAATATTAAAATAGCATTTCAGAAATGTCCCCGGTGAAATTCAGTTGTGTTGCATATGATGCTAAGCAGTTTGAGAGAAATAGCTTATATTGTGTGAAATACCACCACTTATTTTGTTGTTGTTAATCCTCACCTGAGGATACTTTCTCTATTGCTTTTCAGAGGGAGTGGGAGGGAGGGAGAGAGAAAGAGAGAGAGAGAGAAACACCAGTTTGAGAGAGACACATAGATAGCCCTGTAGCCTCCTGCACATACCCTGGTAGCTCTGATGTAACCTGCAACCCAGGCTGTAACCTCGACCTGGAATTGAACCCAAGACCCTTCAGTGCACAGAGCGCTCCAATCACTGAGCAACACAGGTCAGGATGAAATACCGCCACTTATGATGGACATTTTTCATGAGAATTTCCTCATGAAAATGATTCACTTAAACCTTTTCCTAAACAATCCTCCACTCCAGTTTCCCCCTCCTTTTGTATTATTTATATATCCTGTACTTTGCTCTGTTATGTGTATAATTTTGTTATACAGCTCTTTGCATGTCTATTTCTCTAAACAGACTGAGCTCCTTGAGGGCATGGCTCTCGTTAGATACCTGTGCTAGCACACCCTGGTTCAGAAGTTGAGTTATGGCACATGTTCAAGAAATAGTTCCTGAATTGAGTTTAATGTGAGTAACTATTAATCTTTTATCCCACAGTGCATATTTCACCAAATTTTTTGCACCCAAGAAGTAAGACAAGAAATACCAAATGCGGATACAGCTTTAGAAGTAGAAATATTGAAGCAGAAATACCGGTATGTATTTCTTCTTTTATCCATATTTGAGAAACTCAAAAGTCTTAAATAATGATGCATAGTAAAGGGTTACACTGTATATTTGTGTTTATCTTCTGTATTAAGGCATGCTTTAACTCACTGATGCTGCCAGGGGATTGGGAATCGTGAGAGAGTTCCTAGAACCTCCAACAACTTATTTGCTGCTACTCACCCAACAGTATTATGAGCTGCATGCATCCCTCATGAGCCATCTCCAGTCATACATCAAAGCTCTGAAAGATTGTGAGGATCCCAGGAGCAGATGCATAGTGTACAGTGGTTAAATGTGAGGGCTTTAGGGTTCATTTACCTGAGTTCAAGGCACTTAACCTTTCTGTGCAACAGTATTTTAATCTTTAAAATGGAAACCTAAATAAACCAGCTGTGAACCAATAGTATAACCGTAGGAAAATCGCTTATACTTTGAAAATATGTGTTCCTGACCAGGATTCTGACTGTCCGGAGTCTGTAACCTGAGCACAGGTAACCCGATACCTGTTAGCACTTCTGGTCCCCAGGCCTTGTGCACGTGGAGGGCTGAAATAAATTCATGAAACCTGTATGTCCCTTTAGGCTGAAGGACGTGACTTCTCTTCTGGAAAAACAGCATGAGCTTATTAAACTCATCATTCAGAAGATGGAAATCATCTCGGAGACAGAGGACGAAGATAACCATAGTTCTTTCCAAGACCGCTATAAGAGAGAGCAGCAGGAGCAAAGGAATAGCAAGTGGAATTCTGTGCTGAAAGCAGTAAGGGCCCGAACACAGGACCCTTAGCAGGAGTCACCCTTAGCAGTGGGCTTCCTGCATGTGCATCTCCTGCATATTAACACACATGCACAATATACACTTGGGGTGTGATCGCCAGTGTGGAGAGAGTGAGGAAAAGGCAGAAAGCTGATTCTGTTTCCCTCCCTCTGAAGCCGAATCCTGTGTAGAAGTAAACTATCTCTTTCTAATCACATTTTCTGCCAGTCACTCTGCTTGGGAATATCCTTGCTGATATGTTCAAATTGGACTTTACCTCACTATTTGAATGGGTGGAAAGTGATTTGCTAGCACATACATTTTTGATGATAAAGAGTAATAAATGTAACGGTTGAGCTAGAATGCAAATGTCAATACTAGAGTCTTGCTGGATAATTATGATAATTATATAATGTGTAATGCATTGGACAGTGCAGAGTCGCCTCAGCTGCTTCCGTTTGGCATACTCTTTTGTGTTGAAGATCCTGTGGGTGGAACCCTGTGTGCTCTGTTCTGATCGTAATAAATAGCCCCACCCTTCTGCTCCCAGCACACCTGATGCCACTCTGAGTTGAGGCTCAAATCCACAAGCCTTGTGATACGCATGACTTTACTACAGATAGCATGTGTTATTTCTGTATTTTTTGTTTCTTAGTGATCATAATAAATGTAAAACCTATATAGTCACCTCAGTGATTATTATGAGATGTTCATTGCATTTAGTTTTTTTGAGATTTGTAAAAATGCCTCTATCGCATATGCCCTTTTCTCTTTTGATGTCCAGTGTCAGTCACATGCCTCTTCATTCATCTTTTCAAGGTGCTTCTCTCTTTAAAAAAAATAAATAAATAAACAACAGTTCTGGAGGCTAGGAGTCCTAGATGAGGGTGTCAACATGGTTGGATGAGGGCCCTCATCAGGGTCACAGACTAGTTTTATTCTCAAATGGTGAAAAGAAGGAAGGATCTCTCTGGAACCTCTTGGATAAGAGCATTAATCTCACCCAGGACGGCTCTGCCTTCCTGACCTAATTACCTCCCAAACACCCCACCTCTTAATATAATCACCTTCGGGGGTTAGGATTTTAACATATGAATTTTGGGGGAACACAAATATCCGGGCTGTAGTAAATGACAAGTAAGATCTAAATTATTTGAAAAAGGTATTTACCATTCTCTGTGATCATGACCCTTGTCTGCCATTTATAAGCCATGTGTAGAAATGATACAACTAAAACATTGCAATAGAAAGAGAAGAAGAAAATAGAAATGCAAACATACTAAAGTAATTTTAAAAGGTTAAAAGGCATTTCTTTCTCTAGCTATGATAAATAATGGACTTGGGACTAACTTCCCTCCCCATCATACAACTACTGGACAAAATATATGAAACTGATTTTAGACAAAAGGCAGATAGAACTCTGATCCATGAATCAGGGGCTGGAAGTGGTGTAACTACATTCATCCCACTCAAGGTACTGCTCCTAATTTATTTTCCTCTTTGCACCAATTCTCATGTTTATGCCCCAGGAGACACCCAGTTTGGTGATTCTCTTTGGCCATGTATGTATCCTTGTGTTATGTTGAACAGTGTTTTTGGGGTGTGCTTTTATTTATAGAGGTGCTATCATGCTGGTTCTTGTTCTCTATCTTACCTCTTTACAATGGGCATTATGTCTACAAGATATGACTGTGTCACCTTCTGTCCATCTAGTACAGGGCTTCCAACAACTGCTCACTATCATTGTGTGCACCCCACACAAGCTCCTGAACAAAGGAGTTCCTTCCCTTCTCTTGGCTCGCTCTCTCTCTTGCTCTCTGGCTGCTTTTGCTGACTCTTGGCTTGTGTAGTGCTCACACTTGCCCACATGGCCCACAGTCATGTGGACCCCACACACACTGGACTGATGGACTACTAGCCTGATGCTGTGCCGGACTCAACTCCACCATGGGCAGAAACACTGGACACTGGCTTTGCTTTTAAGCTCTGCTGTATTCCCGGCTGCACATTTTCCAGGACTGGTTTAAGGGAAATGGGGCTTCTGCAACCCAGGGATGTAATTCCATGTAAACAAAGCTTTCTACTACATCTCATCCTCCCTTGGGGCCCTCCGGAAATTCTTACTCTAGCGGCATTCCCAAACCCCACTCCACTAGCAAGGGAGAAGGGAAATCCACACAATTCCCCACTAACTGTTATGTTAGTATACATAGTTTTATATGTGTAATTACAATTTTTGATTAAGGCAAGAAGTATCAGATGCTTTCGAATGAAAGAAAAAATGTATCACTGATAAAGAAAAACAACCACTTAGTCTCGAAGCAGCTATCATAACCTTAAAAGGAGAAGACTTAAGGCAACACAAACAAAAATACACCTCCAACTTAACCTTACCATGTAAATATTCCAAAAAGTCAGCTCGGGGTGGCCTCGGCCCTGCACTGCTAATGACACCGGGGACCCAGGGGATTCCCAGCTGGACTCAGCCTGCCTGCGCTGTGCTTTTCAAACAAGTTAGAGAAAGGCAAACTGTCCTGCTGCCCTGTGTGTATATTTTGGCTGCTTCAGGACAGAAGGTAATGGGGGAAAGCACCTTTCATTTCATTTTTCACCATAATGAGGAGCACCATTTGACATGTGACAATTCCACCAGATAAGACAAGAGCAATAAAAGGCAGGGCAGAAATGTGAAATCTGTGATATTTTAAAACTTATTTTTAACTGATCATGCCTGAGCCTAACCTTTGGAAGAAGAGACTTCTATGAATTCTCACTAACAAAAGTTCCCAGAGATGGAACACTAGCATGATATGCATGACACAGCACACACGTTTATGGGGAGATGACTAACCCGTAGTGCTGTGTAACTGCAAAGTATGCCTTCAGCACTGAGCAACAAAGGCTCTTAGAACTACAAAAACCAAGTGTTTGCATTTCAAAGGTGGGGAGGTGGGGAGGAGTGAGCAGGGGATGGTAAACATTCTAAATCACCCATTCTTCTCCGCAAGGAGTCCATTCTATTCAAATCAAAGTTAAAGACACTGTTTCATACCTGACATTTGAAGCATAGGTTGGATAATTCCTTTTAAAAATTGTGACCATAAACACAATTTAAATAGAATAACTATCAGTACACTAAAAAAGGAAAATAAACAAACAATATAAAAAAAGCTTTAAAAAAGGAAAAGCATCAAGACCCACAAAAATCCAAAAGCATAAACAAGACTATACAAATAAAACCTATAAATCCTGATCACAAACATAAAAATCACTGAAGGTAAAATACTCTCCATTTGGGTTTAAAATTTTAATTCCTAGAGAATAATCTAAATTAGCATTACAGAAAGATGAGCAAAGAAAAATATAAAATGTAAACAACAGGAGTGACAAAATGAACTTAATAGAAAAAACTCAAGGAAAATGAAACATAGGCAAAAATAGTGCTTTGCCCCTGATTGAGGTTTTGATCTATTAGGAAGTTGTGAGTTACTAAAGTTTTTGTTTCAAATAAGTTATCAAAATATGTCAAGCTATAACTGGTAGAAATGAATCATTGGTAGACGCTGTGGGAGAACCTTAACGCACCTCCATTAGGCTAATCCTAGCTCTACATTTATGAATTGTGTGACCCACAGTTTATTAAAACACAGTTGCCAAGGAACCGGAGAGGAGAGCCTCCTAGGCAAGGCAGCCAGCAGAGAGCAGCAGCCGCTGCAGCTGCAGTAACACGGGTGCCAAGCCGAGGTTCCCAGACGAGAACAGAGCCTGGTCAGAAAGATGGGTATGTCTGCAGGAGAGAGAAGAGTTTATGAACCCTTTAACTCCCTGATTGTTGCGTGGTGTGAGCTCCTCACCTGACCCAGCTTAACCTATTTTTATGTCTGCCTACTTTTCCCCTTCCAATGTCAGATAATATCCCGTTCTGAACAATAAATTAAAGAGTAACCCATGCAACTTGAGTTTGTGGGTAAAGAGAGAGAAGAGTAACTAGATCTGAACCAGTACTGGGTCTGGCTTTCTTTCCCCCTTACCTAGGTTTTAATGACAAAAAATGAAGCTACCTTAGTCCATATGCCAATAGAAGGCTATTTGACCACCCCATGTCCCTTCCCCAACAAACTCACCACCTGAACGTCAGCTGAATGAGACCTGCCCTGCATAAGCTCGTCCTCCACATTTCCTCTTGCCCTTTGCTCCCTCCACAGCTTGCTCTTCGTGTGGGTTTGCCCCACCTTCTCCTGTCCCCTCTGGACAGCGTCCTAGTGTAAACAGTGGTCCTCACCGGGAGTAAGATGCGCTTCAGTGGAGTCATTTGCCCTCTTGCTGGGATGGCGAATATTTCTTCTCGACCCTAGTATGTCCTAGTGCCTCACTGTGCATAGTGGGCCAGTAGCACGAGCATCCTCAGGGCTTGTTAGAAATGCAGAATCTCAGGAAAGCAGCACCTGCATGCGACCCAGATGGCCCGGTGGTTTCCATGCACATCACAGGCTGAGCAGCACTGCTCTCATGAAGACTTCACTCTGTTACCACTGGATCCATAATTAAAAAACCTCTACTCTGCCTGGCCAGCATAGCTCAGTGGTTGAGCATTGACCTATGAACCAGGAGGTCATGGTTTGATTCCTGTCAGGGCACATGCCCAGGTTGTGGACTCGACCCCCATGGTGGGGTGTGCAGGAGGCAGCCAATCAATAATTCTCTCTTATCATTGATGTTTCTATCTCTCTCTCATTCTCCCTTAATCTCTGAAATCAATAAAAATACATTTTTAAAAATAAATAAATAATAAAAAACCTCTGGTCAAATATGGAAATGCTACCTACTCTAACACCCCCACTCCTGGTTCACAATGCACACTGGCTTAATAACGGCTCGGATAAGACCTGTAATAAATAAACTTGTGAGACCTGACGTTGCTTTAAGTCAGGTGCCAACCCCTAAGGCAGCTAAACCAAATTTTCATAAAAGATTCAATGTCTTGTTCATCTCCAGTTGTAGCTACTGAGGGTAAGTCTTAGCTACATGGC